ATTTTCATCCAGTGCCGGTTGTTTTGTTTTTTTAAAGAAGTCACTCTAATAACAAATTTTTTTAAAACTTTATCTTTTGTCCTTGATTTTAAATAGAAATTCTCTGTTAGAATAGAATGAGTAAGTTCCTTTCCATAAGAGGTAGGAAAAACATACTTCATAGCATATCTATATTTGTAATGATTTATAAAAATAATTTTTTTCTTTTTTAAAAATAGTTATTTTTTAAGATTATAAAGTTATTTTTAAAAATAACTACAAATATGAATACTTTGTGAAGCATTTTTAAAGTAATTTAGATGATTTTTAAAGAACAAAATGATTTTTGTTTACATAAAACTACATACTTAGTTTCTGAATGTCTGGCTTCTAAGAATGATGAACTCTCATAGTGGATACTTATGGTATAGTTTTTATGAGGAGGGACCGGTCCTTGGAGAGGGACATCATGCTTGGGAGTGTGGAGGGACAGTGCAGGAGGGGGAGGTCCTTTATGAGGTGCATTGATTCAGTGACTGGGGTAATCAGAATGGTTATTTCGGAGAGAGTGTGATTGACACAGGACAGAGCAGGGGTTAGGATTATTGTACATAGGGTCGCTATGAGTCGCAAGCGAATTGACGGCACATAACAACAACAATATATTGTACAGAAGTAGAAAATTTTCAGACATGCTCAAGTCAGAGATGACTCTTAGAAATAAAGATAATTTCTTTTATCTGTATCCTGAGGATTAGTTCATATGTTGGGGCAGTATATGATAACTTGATTAATATTGTCATATATCTCTTAGTATATATTAAAAGGCAGTTTGTAAATCAATGGTTATTATTGCTACTGATAAATATATATTTTCCACTATAACAAAGCAAATAATTTTTTTAAAGCAAATAATTTTATCTGCAGTATATGATCTGTGCGCTATGATTTTCTCTTCATATTTTTTAGAATTTTGAATAAAAAATGGTTTAAGATGTTAGTGTTAAGACTGAAATGAATTTTATATAAGCAAGAATTATAAGAACAATCATTTTTAAATATCCCTTTAAAGAAATCTTATTCTACACAAGTAATTAATTTTTCACTTTGATTAAATTAAAAGACAAATAATGTAAAAGGATTTTTCTTATCTTGGTTTAAAATAAACACTTTAAGCATATTATATAAATTATATTTTAAACTAACCCTTAAGTCATAAATATGATCATACTTTTGGTTCCCGAAACTTGATTTTAGGAAATATAACTAGTATTGATTTTAGGAAATTAACTAGTATTATTTAGGTGTCAAAATTAAATCAACCCAAAATGCCAACATAAGGAATAAGTGAGCAGTCTATGGCCATACCACCATGAACGTGCCCAATCTTGTCTGATCTCAGAAGTTAAGCAGGGTCAGGCCTGGTTAGTACTTGGAGGGGAGGAATGAGTGAGCAAATTAAGATGTGTGCGAATAGGATAACACAAAATGATTAAAAAGAGTGATTCTATAGGTTTATAGAGCAATAGAAAATTCTTATAACTGAAAATGCCATAAGTGTGTATGCTAGGCAGCTGGAATTTTCTCACATTACTGATGAAAATGTAAAATGGTAC